AACATTTTCTATATCATACTTGTATTATAGCAGTACATTATGTAGTTCACAGTATCAACATTTTCTATATCATACTTGTATTATAGCAGTACATTATGTAGTTCACAGTATCAACATTTTCTATATCATACTTGTATTATAGCAGTACATTATGTAGTTCACAGTATCAACATTTTCTGTATAATACTTGTATTATAGCAGTACATTATGTAGTTCACAGTATCAACATTTTATGTATCATACTTGTATTATAGCAGTACATTATGTAGTTCATATAGTCACACCTCCCATGAAACCTATATTGTTATTGTATATGATATAGTTCAAACTGTATAGCATGATAAGTAATCCTGAAAGTGATATAACAACTTTATTATTACAACTTAAAATACAAGTTACTTGTCTGCGACTCACAGAATTCTTCTCCTACAAGAAACAGTTTCCTGAAGCTAGAAACAAACCAGGTAAATTAGTTAGTTCAGATAAAAACACAACTACAAGTTAACTTTTAAGAAAAATAATGACATGTACAGTTAGGCTGAACTTGGTAGTGCTTGTTACACTTATTATTCTCAATTTTCAAATATTTTTGAAAAAAAGAGGATTAAAATTTTTTTAAGTACATGAAGTGATACTTACTAAAATGTTTTTGAATTTATTAAATCACTACCAAGAATACTGTTTTCTAAAACTAACTTTCAATGAAAAAAATAACTGTAAATAAGGAAATATTTCATAAGAACATAAAATTATTATTTTGTTAATAGACTTTCAAAGTGTTTAAAACCAATCTTTGTAATTAAAATGATTTAATATTCATCCTTGCATGAGAAAAACCTTACATATTCGTCTTATAAATACATTGTTTACTTAAACAAAAATAACATTTAAAAAATAATTTGTGAAAACTGGTATCTCTGAGTAAACAAATTTTCAAAAAAAAAGAGTAAAAATATTGTTCCAGAATTATTAAAGTTGTAACACAGTTGGTTATCAGTTATTTATTGTAGCTACAATCACTGAGCATGTGTAAAGTTTATTATTAAACATTATATTATCAGCTTCAATATTGCCCATGTTCTGCTTGCTGAACGGTAACGAATGGAAGAAACTCATTTCGACACCTACAATATTAGTCTGAATACAATGTTACAGATGTGTAGCATCACATATTAATGGTGTTAATTATTACTTTCTTGGGCTGCTTTCATAAGAGCATCCATATCATCTTGGGTAAGTTCCATCTTGTCAACCTCTTCCATTTCTCGTTTAATAACACCTGGATACATTACAGACTTCACTGTGGTCAGTTTAGAAGAGCTCACAATGCCTGAAACGAAACCAAACAAAAAATATCCCTGATAATCTCTAAAGTTCGTCTCATATACTAATTGTTTCGTTTTGTTGAGATGAGAAAAAAGTTGTTACTAAGGATAAAATATTCTGTTTAGTGAGTAAAGTGGGATACATTTATTTATATTAAGGTTGTCCTAATACTTTTACCTTTTACACTACCTTGAAATCATGATTAAAATATAAGTATAACAAAAGTAGTCTCATCCATAGTAAATAAATAACTCATAACATCGTGCTTCATGAATACAGTACATTTATAAATAAGATACTTCATTGAGAGACAGTTAAGATTTGTATAGAACTTTTAGACTCGAGTCACTTTATGTGGTGAAATATTTATAATAAGTACCTGGAAAAGTATTGTACACAAAATAACACTCAAATTTATCATTTCTACAGGAGATTTTCAAAGGAGAAGCTTTTTGTAGACATATTACTATTTAATGAAACCTTAAAATTGCCAACCATTTCATCCAATGAGAACTAACTTCTTGTTGTGAACTTTGATAAAATAAAATATCACCTATATGATTTGACAGAATAATAAAATTAAGTAAATTTAAAAGAGTACAACATAAAAAAAATATACTTTTATCTTCTGTCTTCGTAGACAAATTAGATTTCACTTTCTGGCTTTCTTCAAAGTATTGGTTTGGGTGGTTAATGGCCTGATCAACTGTTGATCCTTTGTGTGTTAGTTCAAAGTATCGCGTACAAGCCAGCTGGTAATGTCCATTGTTCACAAAATCCATGATCTAACACGATAATTAAACAAATCCACAACGTGGTTGGATAATCGTACAAGTTCATTAGTTTTTAAAGTGAATTATTCAAACTGATAACTAAAGCACTGTGATTACAATTATTGATAAATATTTACAATGTAACAATGGTAAATATAATCAATTTAGATCTTGGTTTACAATAACAGTAGAATTACATAAACACTAAATGAAACAAAATATCAGTCATACATCAGCTTGACGTTGAGATTAAAAATCTTGGAAAACATTTACAGTGGCTTATAGTCAACAATTTAAATATTGGTTCACAGCAACAATAAAACTAAAACAGTGGTTTATAGTCAACAATTTAAATCTTGGTTTACAACAACAATAAAACTAAAACAGTGGTTTATAGTCAACAATTTAAATCTTGGTTTACAACAACAATAAAACTAAAACAGTGGTTTATAGTCAACAATTTAAATCTTGGTTTACAATAACATTAGAATTATATAAACACTAAATGAAACAAAATATCAGTCATACATCAGCTTAACACAGATATTAAAATCCCTCATAAAAATTTAGTGTAACAATGGTTTACAGTAACAACTTAAATATTAGTTTACAATAACAACAAAACTACATAAGTGCAAAACGAAACAAAATATTAGCTTAACATTAAGATGTTAAAATTTTTATACACTAAAAATGTATTCCCAATAGGTACTTACCTCTTCTTATACAAAAGCTATCTCAACTGTTGTCTGTCCTCTAAGCATTACTAAAAGAATGTTTAGTAATAGGCACACCAGTCTTTATATCCCATCAGTTATCAGTTTCGCATCATTTCTGAATATGTACATATCATGTGACTACTGTCCACCAATAGTATTGTGCCACCTATAATGATGCAGCTAGCTCCCTCCACTATTTCCACTGAATCCTAACTGTCAAGAAATGGCAGGTACTAGAATAAAAACACCAGTTTTAGTGGAGAGGAAGGGTGGGAAGTACCTATCGGAAATACATTTTCAGATTAAGAAAATGTTAACTTCCGAAACGGACTTACCTTCGTAAGATAGAATCCCACATTGCAAAGAACATAAAGTGACCACCCAAAATGACCGAGTATGCTAGGGAATGAAAATGAAGCACATCTGTTGGGTACTGTATCACTTCTGGAACAGGTAAGTTCTTCACCCAAGAATGAGGACAGAAACACAAAATGGGAGGAAAAGGTATTGTTTGCATGATTGTAAAGAAGATGCAAGTTGTAGCAACGTGTAACAACAACAACAACAAGTGGCTAGGACATGTGAGCTGTGTTATTGATAACCAACAACCCCAACTGTAAGTATACAGAGTGCCATACATCAAACAACTGGAATTATGAAAAGGAAGTGAGTAATGGCCCAAACTCCCAAAACCACTGTGAGAGCAAGAAGAACGACACACCGAACCCAACATTATGGGGTCTTGGCATTGCCTCGACTCAACCGTAATACCTTGGAAGGCTGTAACTGGTATTATGGGCAAAATCACAATTCACTCAACCACAAATGCAGAGCAAAGACATCTTGTATCCGGAATTACGAGGAGGACAAGAAGCATTCACCCAACTATAGGAACAGATTGTGGATGTCCCATTGCCGGTAGCATTCACCCAGCTATAGGAACAGATTGTGGATGTCTCATTGCCGGTAGCATTCATCCAACTACAGGAACAGATTGTGGATGTCCCATTGCCGGTAGTATGAGGAGAACAAGCAGCATTCACCCAACTGAAGGAACAGAGTATGGATGTCTCATTGCCGGTATTACAAGAAGAACAAGCAGCATTCACCCAACTATAGGAACAGATTGTGGATGTCCCATTGCTGGTATTATGAGGAGAACAAGCAGCATTCATCCAACTATAGGAACAGATTGTGGATGTCCCATTGCTGGTAGCATTCACCCAACTGTACAAACAGAGTATGGATGTCCCATTGCAAGTATTACGAGGAGAACAAGCAGCATTCACCCAACTGTAGGAACAGAGCGTGGATGTCCCATTGCCGGTATTATGAGGAGAACAAGCACCATTCACCCAACTATAGGAACAGATTGTGGAAGTCCCATTGCCAGTAGTATGAGGAGAACAAGCAGCATTCACCCAACTACAGGAACAGATTGTGGATGTTCCATTGCCGGTAGCATTCACTCAACTACAGGAACAGATTGTGGATGTCCCATTGCTGGTAGCATTCACCCAACTATAGGAACAGATTGTGGATGTCCCATTGCCGGTAGCATTCACCCAACTGTACAAACAGAGTATGGATGTCCCATTGCTGGTATTACAAGAAGAACAAGCAGCATTCACCCAACTGTAGGAACAGAGTGTGGATGTCCCATTGCTGGTATTACAAGAAGAACAAGCAGCATTCACCCAACTGTAGAAACAGAGCGTGGATGTCCCATTGCCGGTATTACGAGGAGAACAAGCAGCATTCACCCAACTGTAGGAACAGATTGTGGATGTCCCATTGCCGGTATTACAAGGAGAACAAGCAGCATTCACCCAACTGTAGGAACAGAGCGTGGATGTCACTTTTCTGATATCACAAGGAGAACAAGCAGCATTCACCCAACTGTAGGAACAGAGTGTGGATGTCCCATTGCTGGTATTACGAGGAGAACAAGCAGCATTCACCCAACTGTAGGAACAGAGCATGGATGTCCCATTGCTGCTCTTAAACCCAACCATAGAAGCAATAAAGAACCTTCTGCAAGCAGAATTAATGAGAATTAATCTACTGCACACAACCATAAGAACATGGCATTGTCATCCTGAACTCAGAATTATGAGGAGGATCTCGCATCTTCCCAATTATTATTTGATCATTGATTTTATTGAGTGTGGTCTGCTCAGGCAAAAAACATCTGGGGAAGCAACAGTAGGGAACTAGCTTCTTCCTCTTCTCAATGAGTGAATAAACAAACTTATGTATAGTAACATGGAACTGTACTCAGTAAAAAGCCTATAGAACACCACCCCAGCAATGGGGAACTGAGAATGGTAAATACTCCCCTACTCTACTAGATAAAAAAAAGGGGGTAGGGATGTATAAAGGCAGTGGGGAGTCCAGAAGAATGTCAAATAGGAGACAGTGCAATGGGTGACTGCATTTCCCTATTTTGAAAAGCAACCCACACCCAATTAAATAATTAAAGTATCGGCAAGTATGGGCAGAAATCCCCTTCTGCTTTACTCATGAAGTCTACAAGTAACAGTCCACCAAAAACATAGGTTTAATGATTTCTAGTACATAGATATACATATACACCACCAGGAAAGTGCCCAGTGGTTTTATAGAAATACCCCATCTCACTTCAATTAGTATGGGTTTGAGGCAAAGCATACCTGACCAGGCAACATCTGCCACAAGGTGAGATCTGTGAAGAAGATGCTAAGATTAGGAAAGCTGAAAGAAAACATAAATCAAAGAATGCAATAACGCTTACTCCAGCCAAAGGTGAACAGACATGTGTATAATCATCATGGGAGGAAGATACAGCCATGTCTAGTGAATAATGAGCAACAAAGGTATTAGGAGTAGTTCACATTCCAGTTGAGCAATCTCTCTCAAAGGATGGGGAAGGCAAGTAGCAAAAGACATAATAATGTGATGTGAAGATATGTTGTGGAGACAGCAACCTTCATTGGACAAGTCCAAATGAATAAGCCAGCCAGATGAGCTGACAAACAGGTAACAGAACATTGGAAACTGGAAGGGTTCCATGGAATAAGGTGTCAGGACATGAATCCCAAAAGGAGGCAGAATGTACCACATAACACCTAAAGAAACAAATCAGACAATAAAGTCTATTTAGATCAGAATGGAAGTACAGGTGGAAAATGGAAGGTAAAGAAATGGATGTGAAAACTAGAACACAGTCACTTGCATCATAGGTCCTAAGGAGGAAGGACCAAGGTAGGGATAGAGGATGAAAAATGAGGAATGGTAAGGATGTGGGTAACATGAATGGTATAAAACCACTGAATGAAATAATTAGGTTACGACGGAGGAAAGGTAGATGGAACATTAAGACAAAGGCTGAAATGTTGGATGGGAAAGGGCATAAAAGACCACATTGACATCTCACAAACTACCGAGTGAAGAATAGGGAAGGAAGAGTGAGAAGAACAGAAACCATGGAGAAGAGACCAAAGTTTGAGGTATACTAACATCAGGAGGAAATGGATATGGAAGGTCTCATGGATCTGGAAGGAAGGATGCAAAACGTGGAGTCTGACCCTAGGCTGAAACAACGAACAAGACAAAACCATGCACGAAGACTGAGAGTGGCAACGTATGTGGAATGAGTGATCACTTTGTGATTAGAATCTTGTTGGAAGATAATTGAGCCACCATCAGATGGAAGGAGCCAGGAAAAAGGTAAGCAAAGACCACAATTTGATGAGAGTGGGCTCAGAAGAAGAGACCCAAGATCTGAAAGCACAGAGACCAGGAATTGGGGTGCCCTAGCTCAGTGATACAAGATACTACAGTGGAGAGGTGGGAATGTACCATCACAACCATCCCTATAGGAGAGAAAGGAGGTGGGACAAGGCTAAAAAACCACCAAAGACTCAAGAAAGATGATATAGAGAAAGCCTCTATTATTGAAAAGAGACAGGAAATCTTCCAGGAGTTGAAGTAAAAACTTCAGCCCTAAAGAGGAGTATGGGAACAGACGTAACTCCGGATGAGACAGAGTAAGCAGCACCCCTGCCTTGGTCTGGCCTCTGTTCAAACACCAAGCCAGGGATCCGTGGAGAAGTTTCACTGATCAAGGAGTGAATATGGGTCTGACCTGTGGGAATGAGAGTTTCCAAGGTAGTCCATATCTCCAAAGAGATAGAACATATCAAGCTGTAAGAAAGGTGAGGTACATACGAACTGCTTACTCGAAAGATAAAGAGGAGAAGGCTGGGCCTGACTAAGGTTGGAAAGAAGACCCCCCCCCAAATGAATAGGGTATTGAGAACGGGTCAGAAAAGACTTTCCCTT